TGTGATGCTGGGGACCAAACCCTGGTCTACTGCATCTCCCTAAGCTTGCCTAAGCAGGCATTTTAGACCACTAAGCTAGCTCACTGGCCCCTGTATTAAACATTTAAAGAATAAATAGTTTCTTAAAAAATAAAAGAACCGAGCCAGGCCGGGCATGGTGGGGCAGGCTTGTAATCCTAGAACTTCGGAGGCTCATGCAGGAGGATCCATGCAAATTTGAAGCCAGCCTGGGCTACGAACTGAGTGCAAGACAAGCCTGAAAGGTATAGTGAGACTCAGTCTCAAAAGGATGAGAGAGAGAGAGAGAGAGAGAGAGAGAGAGAGAGAGAGAGAGAGCGCGCATGGTAGTGCACACCTGTAATCCCCACATTCAAGAGCCTGAGGCAGGAGGATCCTGAGTTCAAAGCCAGCCTAAAATGTACACTGAGACCTTGCCTTCTAAAAAAAAAAAAAGGAAAAAGTAAGAAAAAGGAGTAATTTCAGTACTTGGGAGGCTGAACCAGAAGGATCACTATGAGTTCGAGGCCAGCCTGGGCTCCATAGTGAGTCCAAGGCCAGCCTGAACTATAGTGAGACCTTGTCTTAAAAAGAAAAAAGAAGGAAAAAAAAAAAAAAAAAGAAAGAAAGAAAGAAAGAAAGAAAAAGGAAACAGAACTAACCGTTCTCATACTTGAACGCTTCCTAGATCATTCTACAAAGCCAACAGTTTCCCTGATGGCCAATCTACAGTAATTATGACAAAAGCTAAGCACAGTGGAGCATACCCCAGCTCTCAGGAAGGCTGAGGAAGACAACTCTTAAGTTCAAAGCCAGCTAGGGAGATAGCTTAGTGGAATAAGTGCTTGCCTGGCAAGCGCAAGGTCCTGAGTTCAATCCCTGGTGCCACCAAAAAAAAGCAAAGCCAGCACAGATACTTAAGGAGACTATCTCAAAAAAGAAAAGGCTGAGGATATAGCTCATTGGTATCCCTGGATTCACTCCTTAGTACTATCAAAAACAAAAAACAATACAAGAAAACTGTATTGTCTCCCCAGTGTAAGAACCTGAAAGAGTAAATAAAATCTGAAAGGTACAATACATACTGTGAAAGGAAAAGAAACTGTTCAAAAGAAAGGAAATAGAATGAGGGAAAGAAGAAAAGAAAAAAAAAATATATATAGGATAGCTAGAATAATTGTACTGCTGATTTCTACTGATCTATTGAAAGGAACACTTAATGCTTACATTTTTTTTCTCTTCTTCTAAATTTTCGTTTTGACCAGTTTTGCATGCTTATATCTGGTAATCTGAACAACTAATTTGAAGACAACAATATGCAATATGACAACCATTGGGGTTTTTTTTGCATTTTTTTAAAAATCTTTTTGAGGCAGGGTCTCACTACGCAGCTGCTCAGGCTGGCCTTGAGCTCACTTTGTAGCCCAAGCTCATCTCAAACTCACAATGATCCTCCTGCCTCAGCCTCCAGAGTGCTGGGATTACAGGCGTGCACCACCGTGCTAGACTCACAACCATTACTGAATTCCTATCATCTTGTTTAGCAAAATGCTATAATGTGTTTATTTTTTCTTGTCTAATGTGTTTATTATTTTTTCTTGCATAATGTACTTATTTTTTTTTCTTGCCTAATGTGTTTATTATTTTTTCTTCTCTTTTAAAAATAAATGCTTACAAGGAAGCTTGTGGGTTAGCACAGCTGTTTAAGCGCCTGCTGGGGAAAACTCAGTCAGGCACAAGGGACCGCGGTTCCATCTCCAGCTCCCCATGCCTTACCAGACCCACCTGAAGGTAGCATGAGCCAGCCAAAAAAAAAAAAAAAAAAAAAAAAAATCCTCCTAAAAATAAATGTTCACAAAAATTTAAATAATAAATATTAAACAGGATAAACAATAAAAAAGTATTGTTGGTAATAAATAAACATTAGGACAACAAAAAGAAACTTACAGGGCAATATACCTTACAAACACTAACGTAAAATGCTAGCAAATCAAAACTCATCAGCATATTAAAAGGATTATGTTCTATGACTAAGTGAAATTTATTCCTGGATTCCAAGAATGGTTCAACATAAAACTGGCCAATGTAATACACTACATGAACAGAGTGAAGAACATAAAACCACACGGTCATTTCCACTGGGGGGAAAAGAAAAACATTTAACAGCCAAGCACAGTGGTGCAACCCTTTAATTCCAATACTCTGAGAGGCTGAGACAGGGCAATCACAAGTTCAAGCCCAACCTGGGAACCTCCTGACTTAGCTTAACAAGATACTGTTTCAGAATTTTTTTAAAAAAGAGGATGGGAGGGGTATCTAAGGAATGTTAAAAAAGCATTAAAAAAGATCTAGCACCACACACACCAAAACAAGAAAAGAAAGACAAAATGGAAACAAAGCTTTATAAATAAGGATAGGAAGAAAGGTTGAAATGAGGGGAGTGGAGGAGGAGGGAAAAAATGACAAATCAAGGTATATCGTGTACAGGTACAAATTCCCTAGGATGAATGTGATCACTGCATATGCCTAAATACTTTTTTTTTAATTTATGTATTTGGTACAGGGTCTCACTACAGAGCTAGACTCACAGTGATCCTCCTGTTTTCAACCTCTCCAGTGCTGGGATTATAGACATGCGCCACCACACCCAGACCTGTGACCAGCTCAGTGCACCTGTGGCGGGGGGCCAACACAGCATATGGTGCCGGGATTAAACCCAGGTCCCTATGCTTGCCTAAGCAGGCTCTTAGTCTGCTGAGCTATCTTGCCAACCAAACAGTGCCAATAGCCGGGGAGATGGCTCAGTGGAATAAGCGCTTCCCTGGCAAGCGCAAGGGCCTGAGTTCAATCCTGAGTTCCACAAAAAATTTCAAAAATGCTGTTGTCTTTGGGGCCAGGGAGATGGCTCAGTAGAATAAGCACTTGTTTGGCAAGCACAAAGGCCTGAGTTCAATCCCCTGTTCCAAAAAAAAAACAACAAAATAGTGCCAATAAACTTAACTAAATTTTAAAAAAGCAGCAAAAAAGGAAAAAAAAAAAGCAACAAAATTCAACATAGTTTCATGACAAAGACAATAAAGATCCTAGCCATGCTGACACTGTTGCAGGCAGCCTGAGTTAGACAGAAATATCGTAAGCAGTTACACAGGGTCAGGCCCTCATAGGAGATGACAAAGACCAGACACCTTACTACTGTGGGAGATGCTCCTGGTGTGAGCCAGACCTAAAGATCAAACAAATGCTGACCTCCCTAAAGTTGGCATCCAAGATTGTTCATTAGTCGGGAAGAATCATCAACTGAAGGCCACCAGTTAAGGTCCCGTTTTACATTCGTGCCTGCTTGCTACATGACTCGCTACCCCATTTGGTCTTAGGCCTAATAAATTTTACCTGAGCAATGATGCTTATAATCCCATTGGTTGACCATAGTTTTGTTCCACCCTGTATCCGCCTAAGCAAGACCCCTTTGTCTCTACCTTAGCCCTGCATGGTTTTACAGTATAAAAGTCCCTGGAAAAAAAAGCTTCCTGGGCAACCCCTTCGGGGACCCCCTTCTGTCCCTCTCCAACAGAAGCTTTCCTTTCCAATAAAGTTTTACCCTCAACCTCGTTTGTTCCTAAAATTCATTCTTCAGTTTTAGAGAACACAAACTCATCCAGGCCAGGTTGGGAATTTCACATTTCTATATCAACACGACATATAAACCAACAGAATACAACAGGAAGCCCAGAAAGAAATCTTCATATACACAAATGATTTTGACAAGCTATAACATCATTTAATAGGAAAAGGAGCCTTCAACAATGATGCTGGAGGGGCTGGTGAGATGGCTCAGTGGTCTAAAGCACCTACTTAGAACAAGTTTAACAAAGCACAGGGACCGCGGTTCAATCCCCCAGCACCACATGCCAGCCAGCCCCGCCCCCTGGTGGACTGAGCTGGCCACACACACACACACACACACACACACACAAATAAACAAATAAATAAAATTTAAAAAAAAATGATGCTGGAAAAACTGGATATTTACATGCAAAACAGTAAAGGTAGAAAAAAATTAACTAAAGAACCTGAATAAAAGATTGTAAACTACATAACAATGGATTTGGGTGCTATAATTTCTTAGATATGACACCAAAGTCATAGACAACAGAAGAGCAAACAAATGACTTGAAATTTTAAAAAACTTATACATTAAATGACATAAAGAAAACCCGCAAAATGGGAAGGATCTGGAAATCATGTATCATTGTTTTATTTTATTTATTTGAGACAGTCTCCCTATGTAGTTGTGTGCCATCACACCCAGTGGAAACCATGTATCTACAGAGATCAATACTCATAATAGGGCTGGGGAGATGGCTCAGTAGAATAAGTGCTTGCCTGGCAAGCTCAAGGGCCTGAGTTCAATCCCCAGTTGAAAAAAAAAAAAAAAAAAAAAAAATGGATCAACCAGCACAGGTACCTAGTCAAGTTCACAGAGAAAGAGCAAACAGAAGTTGTCAGGAGCTGGGGAGACGAGGTGTCAAGAACTGCTGACATAGCTCAGGCCTTTAAGTGGCTGCTTCCACAAAGCTGTCAGCCTCAGGTTGCTGGAGTTCGAACCTCACACCTCTCCCACTGGCCAAAAGTGCCCTGAAGGCATTCGAGGAACCAAAAAAAAAAAAAAAGAACTGCTGACAAATGATTATAGGAATTTCATAGGATGGAAATAATTGAAATAGATCGTATAAGTTCATTTGAAATAAGGAAACAAATTTTAGTACCTTTGCAGATTGTAACTTTTAGTTTAAACCCAGGAAGTAATGAACATCAAGTAGGTTTAAAACTGTTTTAGTAAACATTTGTACCAGAGGGAACCTTGGGCTGGGGGCAGAGCTAAGTGGAGCACAGCTGCTCAACACAGGGCTGACCCAACCACCAGTCCTCAGCCACACCAAAATCCTGTCAGGTGAACAAGAGCAATCAATTTATTATTCAACTTTGCACCTGCTTCTGCCTACCTGCGAGAAAGAATTGTACCAAGACAGAGGAAGATCAAACACTTTGACAGCCGCTGTCTTCAAGGAAAACTTGGATTCACTTACTGCTTCTTCTGACATGACTATTCTTCCAATCAGCACTAAATGGAACAAAAACAAAGACTTCTGGTTATTTTTTTTTTAACTTTTATGTATTTATTTTAATTTATTTGTGTGTGTGTGTGTGTGTGTGTGTGGCCAGCTCAGCCCACCAGGGGGCCCGGCTGGCTGGCATGTGGTGCTGGGGGATTGAACCGCGGTCCCTGTGCTTTGCTTATCTTGTTCTAAGTAGGTGCTTTAGACCATCACCAGCCCCTGGTTATTTCTTTTAATCAAAGATACAAAGTAAAGGGCTGGGAAAATAGCTCAGTAGAATAAGTGCTTGCCTGGCAAGTGCAGAGTCCTGAGTTCAATCCCCGGTACTGCAAAAAAAGAAAGTAAAATCTGAATTATCAGTTTTTGTGTATTCATATTATACTTGAGCTAAATCATCAAAGCAGCAAATGAGAAATGAACTAGATTTATCCTTGCTTTTTGCCAAATAGTCCAAAAATGATAAAAATGAACTACGTTAAAACTTTATTTTTTTATTTTTTTATTTTTTATTTTTACTTTTTTTTTTTTTTTTTTTTTTAACATTTATTTATTGTGTGTGTGTGGCCAGCTCAGCCCACCAGGGGGCCCGGCTGGCTGGCATGTGGTGCTGGAGGATTGAACCGCGGTCCCTGTGCTTTGCCTATCTTGTTCCAAGTTGGTGCTTTAGACCACTGAGCCATCTCTCCAGCCCCAAAACTTTATTTTTTTAATGTATCTTGTGTAGGGTCTCACTACGCAGCTTGAATCAGTAGTGATCCTCCTATTTTCAAGCCTCCCAGCAACGGGATTACAGGCGTGCCCGGGTATGGGGCTGGTACAGTATGTGGTGCCACGGATCGAACCCCCATACCTGTGCTTGCCTAAGCAAGCATTTAGTCTACAGAGCTATCTCACCCACCCTTGTCTCCCTATATTACCCAAGCTGGCCACTAACTTCTGAGCTCAAGACTACAGGCATATGCCACTATGACCTGCCACAAAGGTTCAGGTACTTAAAGAGGAAGCAGATGTCACCCTGAGAAGTCCTTAAGATAGTACACTCTATAACACATGATGGTTCCTGCTGGGCATGGTGGTGCACACCAGTAATTGCAACACTTGGGAAGCTGAGGCAGGACGATTGCCCGGAGTTCGAGGCCAGCCTGTGCTACATAGTGAGACCCTGTTCTCAAAAAAAAAAAAAAACAAAAACGAAAAGAAAATTTTAATTAACTAATGTATAACCTTGAGAATAGAAAGGTCTCTCTATGCTTACCCAGTGCGCACAAGGGCCTGAGTCGGATTCCTGATGCAACAGGAAAACCCACTCTGTTCTAAAAAAAAAAAAAA